CAGGCACACCTCCTAAGCCTGTCAGGATTCCTCCAGCATGTCAACTGCACCACACAGCTTGGTGTCATCAGCAAACTTGCTGAGGGTGCACTCAACCCCACTGTTCATGTCGCCAACAAAGATGTTAAACAGCACGGGTCCCAACACCAACCCCTCAGGAATGGCACTCATCAACGCTCTCAAGACATCCAGCCGCTGACCACAACTCTGAGTGTGACCATTCAGACAATTCCTTATCCACTAGGTGGTCCATCCATTAAATCCATGTCTCTCCAATTTAGAAACAAGGATGTCATGTGGGACAGTGTCAAAGGCTTTGCACAAGTCTGGGTAGATGACATTAGTTTCTCTTCCCTTATCCACCAGTGCTATAACCCTGTTGTAGACACCAGGTGTGAAATTCTGGTGCAGCTGAATTTTATAGCAAAGCATAGACTAGCTGCTGCAAAGCCAAAATTTCACTCTAAAAAAAGTTACTTACCAGGAGTGTTTTACTTACACTAACTTTCTTCTCTTTCATTCATTCTTTCCAGTAGGAGCCTAGAGTGGATTTACATAGTAATGGTCTCCCACAGGCAACAATGGAGAGAACAACCCTTTGCTAAGAAACAAAATCTGACAGGAAAGGGCAAGGACCTCAGTGAACTGGTATCAGTCCTGTAGGAGAGAGTTTATTTCAGGAGAAACCGTAAGAACAGGAATGACAAAAATTCATTCCTAGATAGAAACTATTGAAGATATTGTAAAACATTTCTGGTTTTAAGTTAACAATAGTGACTTCTTTTTGTTGTCCATGTTATTTGATTAGAAATTAAGTTGAAGCTATTTTCAGGTGGGTTTCCCATTGTATTATTTTAACAGTGAAGTGTTTTTCTTTTATTTCCTTTTTTTTTTTCTGTGTTGTAGTTTTGCCAGTTATTAAGCCTAACATAAAGGACACAACCACCATAAAGATGAACCAATAAACAAATTGCATTTGATACAAAAGGGTCAGTATATGGGTGAGCACTGGGGGTACAAACAAGTCAAATTATGCATAACCAACATCAATCCTACTGACCCCAACAGTGACACTGCACAACAACAGTGGGTGGAATACACAGTGAAATGCAGTCTCCCATAGAAGGGACAGGAGACAACTGAGTCAACAAGCCAAACACATAAGACCAAGGAAGCCACATACTAAATCTCTACACAGACCACATTTACAAAAGCCAGACCTAGCTGGAGCCCAGTCCCAGGGAGGCAGGAGGCCCTTCCACAACAGGAAAATCTGCAAAATACATCCATCTCACAGACAGATACTGCCCCTTCCTGCAAGTGGTCCCAGCTTTTATCCCCAAGTGGGACACCTGACCTTTGCTTACTTAATGCAGGACACCTGGGGCTCATTTACCCAATGGCTCTCCCTGCAAGGCTGGCTGCACCCTGGAGGGAAGCTTAAAGGTGAACTCACCCCCCCTTTGTGAAGGGAGGTGGGAATCATCCATATGTCAACCTTAATTTGGGGTTTGGGTTTGAAACCTCATCATCTCAGTTGTGGTTTTCTTGTTCTTAATGTTGATAGATTTTCAGTAAATCATTGTTAAATGCACTTCTCAACCATCTCAAAGTTATGAAGACATTTTAAGTATTTTAACTTCAGAGAAAAGAAGGTAAGTGCTACTGAAATACGATGGGAGAGGGGGAAATTATGCCGTGATTTTGTATTCTTAGGTTTCAAAAGCATACCCTTTGTATACATCAGAAAAGTAAGATCAAATCCTTAATTCACTCTGATATATAGCCTTTGTTTAATGTCTGTGCCCACTTACACATGTGGAATGAACTGTATAATGATATTTCACTGTTATCCCAATTTATTGTTAAACAAAAAGCCTTCTAGGACTCTGAAGTTGATAACATCTAAAAAAGAACTGCCTTGCATGATAATCTATGCTGAAAGAGATTAAGTGAATCTCATTTCATCAAGGTTATCTTGTAATTCTTTAAGAAAGAGATGAAAACTAATCCAGCCCAATCCATTTTGCTACTCTACGTCAAAGACTATCCTAGTATCTTAATTTTAGCTTGTTTCTTTCATTTATCTTACTGCCTCAGCTCGTGGCTGCCGTACTGTTAAATAGTTTAAAGACAGAGTAGAAAGAAATCACTAAATTAATTTGATGTTTTATTTTTCAGTTATTTTAGCTCACATAGGTGAGCAGTGGTGGCTTCCCCTGGTCTAAATATCAAAGAATCTTTCCTGTCTTCTGTCCCTTTTCCTTGTCTGGGTTTCCTTGCCTTGTCTCTCCAGTCTGGAGACAAACTGCCACCATGCAGTCAAGGTGAAGGATTGGGCAGTTCAGTGGGACAGTGTGTTTGAACTCAACATAATGGCAGTGGCATAGATGGAGAAGTGTTTAAAACTTCTGAACCAATTTATGACATGAAGGAAAATATAGGAAGGTGGGGATCTGAGCAGTTACAACTACCTGTCTATACTCCCTGAGATCATCTGTACTATAAATGGAGAACACTCTTCTATAAATTTTAGAATTTACCTTTAATATTCTGATAAAATCACAGGAGTAGAAGTCACCCATTGAAAATACTTCTTAAAATTTTGTCCTCTCTTAGATGATTAAATTAGATTATATTTTAAAAGGATATGCACACTTTTACTGTAGGCCAAGGTAAGTTTGTGTTAATAATGCTGTTGAGGACAACTGCTCTGAATGTAAATGTAAAGGGCTTACATGGATGCAACTGAAAATTCTTAATTAATCATGTCTGCTACAGGCAATGCTTGTGGAATATTCATTTAAATCCTCTGTACATAGAATCTGACTCACTGAAAAATACAGATTCACATTGGTTTGAGACAATCCAATTTACAGAATTGTAAAAATGTGGTTTAGTACTGTAGGTCATTTTTTAGTTAATTTTTAGCTGTAAAAATAATGTAAGTATTTCTGAGTATATAAGACTACCTTATCTGAACATATCTAAAAGCTGTATTGTCCCCTTAAACAAGTTTAAATAATGTTGTTGGATGTCCACAGATTCTATAGAATCTTTACCCAAGCAGAAAAATCTGAAACCAAGAAAAATCTTTAACCAAGTTCAGAAACTTAGCTGTCAGGTTGACGTTAGGAATACTGTTAAATCAAGGAAGAGAGACACTTGCAAAGTACAGTTAATCCCAAATCTGGATTTCCCAAGGGAAATTATACCCTTAATTTTGACATCTCATGTGCCTCGCATAACATGACTTGCATTCAGGTTTCACCACACCGGCTGTTTGGTTACGTCTGCAGACAGGAACATAAGTCAGTTCCATGATTCCCTTGGCCTAAACTAACTGATACTGCTTAAAGCTGGATTTAAAGTCATGTTTAAATTGCTTTGGGTTTATTAGCTGTGTTCTTCACACTGCAGAAACATGCCATATAATTTTGTGTAGTCCTTTGTTCTCCCGTAATTGCAGAAGTGTGCTTGGACATAGATAGCATTTTAGTTCACTGGGAACAGTCTTCCAACAGTTTGCCATGCTGTACCACAGGCAGCCGTGGGATACACTCAGACATCCCACTGATTTATGTAGTAAAGCTCAGTACTAGGGAGGACTCTGAAGAAGGCTTGCCAGCTTCGTCACTTGGAACTAGGCTAGTCTAATTTGGCATTCAAACCTACATCTTGGTTGCAAGAAATAATTCTGTGAGGAAGATAAACCCTGTGTGAAGACAAATGTGTGCCAGATGCAAGCTCTTGTTTTCTGTTATGTATTCTTCTACTTAACAGGCATTATATGGTTAGAGTAGTCTTTTTTTTTTTTTTTTTTTTTTTTTTTTTTT